AAACATTCTAAACCCATTGGCATAGAAAACCCAAAAAAAAATTTTCGCATCGAAACAAAGCTTCCTCTATGAGGAAGCAAAATTAGATTAATATTATCAATATTCAATAGGTACATTTTTCACCTGAAATGTGGGAAAAACCACGAATAGATGGAAAGAAAAAAGTGGAAAGTAATGCAATACCAACAATTTTTGGACATAAAGTAAAAAAGAATAATATGACAGCATTACCTGTAATACATGACAATGGAATTGGTACTGATTCTTCCAATGTAAGTTCAATTTCTTATAATTTTCTATAATTTTATTTGTATTATATTAATAATTCTTTCTTATATTTGTTATATGTTGCACAATGCAGAACGAAATATGTACATCAGCTACACTTGAAGAATTACCAACATGTGACTCATTGACAAACTTCAAAAATAAAGAAATGGAAAAGCTATTGCCAATAATAAATGTTACAAATCTTGAAGAGGCGGTATTAAAACTCCAAAACACTTTACTAGAGGCTGAACAGGCAAAAGAAGAAGCTAGACGAACGGAGCTTAAATTTAAGGATGCAAATGTAATGATTTTTAAGATAAATAAATCTAAAATGAGCCTTAAAAACCACGTAAGGAAGCTTATGGATCAAAACAAGAAATTGACAGAACAAATACGTGCTTTGAAAGCGAACAAGAACTTGTCAAAGATATTAAATGACGATCAAATTGTAGCTTTTAACAGACATGCACAAGGTTGCAGGTGGTCTAAAAATACCATCATGAAAGCTCTTCGACTGAAAATGTGGTAGTAGTGGTTACAGAGAAGTTTTAAATCAGGGCATTCCTTTGCCATCGGAGCGTACGCTCCGAAGAAAACTAGAAAATATTAATTTTGAACCTGGTGTTTGTGACCAAATATTTGATATACTACAACAACAAGTTTTACAATTTAGTGATGACCGAGAAAAAGATTGCATTGACGAAATGAGTATTACTGCAGGTGAACAAATTGATCAGTCTACAAAGTGCTCTTTTGGCATGTCAACTCTGCCTTTTGGTATATAAACTTTAATCTTTTCTTTATCTTTTCTTTATCTTATCATGTATGTATGTATGTTTGTGCATGTATATACAGTTTGAGGCATTTAAAGAGTTACAACTTGTTATTTTTTTCAGTTATCTTTAAAATGCCTTGGATAAAAATTATTTGGTTCTGAGGAGGAAATAACAGGGATATTAGTTGAACCTTTATTGCTATAATGTGTACTTTTAGAGATAACAGTTTGTAACATTTTAAATGTACATGATAAGGTAAAATCTTTTCTCTTCTTAACTTCTTACATTTCTTCCTTTCTTTCTTTTCAATAATCAAACAGGGAAAATAAAAGAAGCAACACATGGTCTAGTTTTCATGCTTGGAGGTCTTTTTACGCGTTGGAAGCTCCCTGTTGCATACCATTTTACATCTGATAGCTTAAATGACGCTATTTTAAAACCTATCGTACTACAAGTTATTGAAAAAGCAGAATCTATTGGCTTGTATGTACACAGTGTGACTTCCGATATGGGTCCTGTGAACTTAAGCATGTGGAGAGCATTTGCGAGTATTGCATGTAGCAGATATTCAAAAATCGGTAATTGTTTTCCTCATCCTATTGATAATGCTCGGAAACTATTTTTCATTGCTGACGCTCCGCATCTATTAAAAAACCTTAAAGCTACTTTGTTAAATAACAAAGTTATACAATTGCCTAAAACATTTCTCCAGACACACAATTTATCTAATCCTATTGCTAAATGTGAACATTTAAATGAATTAATTGACATTCAAGAAAATCTACAATTCAAACTAACTCCTAAAATTTCAAAAAGAGATATTACCTGCAGTACATTTAACAGAATGAAAGTAAACAAAGCGAGAAATATATTAAGCTGCGATGTTAGTAGTGCCATGCATTTTTATGCTGCAGAGGAAGGTAAACAGGAGTTTGACACTACAGCAGCATTTATTGAAGTTTGCTCTAAATGGTTTACGTTAATAACTGCTCGTACACCAAAAGTTCCCAAGGAGCGCCAATGCACGTATAATGCGCTCTAAATGTGCATTAAAATTCGCATTAAATGCGAATTGTACATGCACATTTAAAGCGCATATTTGTCCCGCATTAAATGTACATTTAATGTACATTAATTAATGCGTATTAAATGCGCATTAAATGTATAATTAATGCGTATTTATCGTGGCAGTGCATTTAAGAAACTACACCTACGTTCATCGAGGAGCCCAATTGAACAACCAGTGTACCATGACAACTCTGTACTATATTGGAATGCTTACTGCAATGCTTAGAGGTCGGGCAAGAAAACAAATGATAGGTTGCTCAACGTTCGTTTCTTTTTCTGTCTAGACAGAGAACTAGACAGAGAAAGAAATGGGTGCCTAGCAATCTAATTCTTTTTTTCATGCCCGGCCTTTAAGCATTGCAGTATATATTTTGCAGTATAGTTCATTGGGGACAACTGAAGCTTCTCCAGCTTATTTATCCTATAGAGGACTTAAGGATCTACACACGCCTCTACACGTTGATGCTTTAAATGTAGAATTAAGAGAACAAAGATAGTGTGAAACTATTTAAAATTTTATTTATATAAAATTTATATAAATTTAAAAAACAAACTTATAATTTATCTTTGGCAAAATTATCATTTGTAAAAGGCCTAATTTCTACTACCAAGGTAGAAGAAAAGATATTTACTCTTTTTCATCACTTAGGAACTTTTAGTTGAAACTATTAAACTTAAAAAACTATGCTAATATATGTAATTAATTATAATTATCACAAAAGCAACAGCTTTCGAACTCAAGATTATATTTAAGACGGTCTTAAATATAAGAATCAGTTATGAATGTTGATCTAGCGATTTGCGTTCGCCATTGGTTGTAGAAAATTTCGAGGTTTACATACAATTTGCATTAATTACGCATTTGAATACGCGCATTTTGAACACACAATTAATGCAGTTTAAAAGCCAATGCAGTAAAATGCGCATTAAACGCACGTTATACGCGTATTGGCGCTCCTTGGGTATCATTACTTTTGTAGAGAAGATTTTTGTAGAGACAATATTTTTGAGAAGGTATTTTTGGATTGTCTAAACCGCGGCCAACGGGCGTCCGCGGACGCCCAGCCGGCGGGCATGCCCCCACTCCAATCATCGCCCCACCACGTTTAAAACTATTTAGTTTAGTTGGTGCCATTTGATGATATCATTACTTTTGTAGAGAAGATAGTTTTGTAGTGAAGATATTTTTGTAGAGATGCAAAAAAGATAGAGTAACAAAATATATTCGGTCGTTGGAGCTTATACTTGGTGCTTTTTTTTACCTTTTTTTAAAAAGGTACACATATACAACGAAATATACTGTATTATAATTAATTTATTTATTGCACTTCAGTTTAGAAATGTACTGTATTATAATAAAGATCATTTAATTTTTTAATAATACAAATAAATAAAGTGTGTTGAATGTTTTAATCTTCCTAACTGTTAAATACAATGTTAAACTTTTCAGACCACAGGACATTATTCGAGATATTTATCCGCAACTAGACATTGTAAAAAATTCTCTGCCCTCGAATGATGGGTCAAATTCCATTGCATTCGATCAAGCTGTAAGCGAAGTTGTTAATATCATAGTTGGATATGATACTGGATGGAGCAAACGCGGTAACGGTCGCAGTTACGATAGTTTAAACAGTTACAGCACTATCATTGGTTTTTTATCAGGAAAAGTTCTTGATTATGCTACTAGAAACCGGAAATGTATGAAATGTGATTTGGGGCACAAGAAAGAGGATCACGATTGCCGCATGAATTTCCAAGGCAGCGCTAAGGCTATGGAAGCTGACGCGGGAGTTGAATTAATCAACCATAGCAAAGTTTTGAAAGAAGTCGGCTTGCAAGTTCGTGTAATTATCGGCGATGAAGATAGTTCAATGATAGCAGCCGTACGAAATGACAATCCTGATGTTAATTTTCATAAATTAGCCGATAAAAATCATTTATCGAAAAATTTTTCTAATGAATTATATAAAATGCGTAACAAATACAAGCAGCTGAATAGAAAAGGAATCATTCCTCACATTAAAAAATGTTTTAATTACGCAGTGTCCCAAAATAAAGGCAAAAGCGAATGTTTGGCGAATGTGTTAAAAAAGCTGCCAGATCATTTTTTTGGACGCCACGAAAATTGTGAAAATTGGTGTAAACCTAAAAATAAGCACACAATTCAGTTATCGGAATCTGATTTGTACGATGAATTAGTGCAATTTTTTTGGAAAGTACGCTGCGAATGCCGAAATTTTCGGTAGCAGCTTCTAGTCAAGCTAATGAAAGCTTTAATAACATTGTTGTTAATAAAGCTGCTAAAAATAAATGCCTCAGTAGAAGTGCTGCGTGCGACTTTAGAGTAGCCGATAGTGTATGTGTGAAAAATTATGGAGAGCAAAGTATATTGAAAATGCAGAAAGGATTAGGAATTTCCGAAGGAACACACTCAGCCAAATATGCTATTGTAGCTGATAGCAAGAGATTTAAAAGATCTTTAAAAGATAAATTAAAATCAAGTAAATTACGACGGCTGGAACTAAAACAAAAAAGAGAAAGTCTGAGAAAAAGTAAAGAAAAGACGGAAGGCATAACATATCAAACTAACTGTGGTATTGATACAATGATAAATAAAATAGATGAAAGTTCTAAAAAGATATCAAAAAATGAAATAAGTATTATTTATTTTGATTTGGAAACAACAGGATTTGCTCCTAATGCTCATATTGTTCAAATAGCTGCAAAAAGTTGTGAAACTTTTTTTAATCTTCATGGCTTCCGGAT